ATCCAGGTTGCTGTGAAATTCATGATTTTGTTCTTTTTTATGGCTGTGTAATATTCCATCGTGTATATGTACCACATTTTAAAATCCAATCCTCTTTTGATGGACAGCATGGTTGGTTCCATGATCTTGCTATTGTGAACAATGCTGCGATAAGGCCTGATCAACTATTAACTCAATCTCTGGCCTCTCTCCCCTTTATGGAGGATGAAGGAGTGAGGATGAGAGTTCCAAGCTTCTAATCATGGCTTGGTCTTTCTGGTGACCAGCCTCCATCCTGAAGCTGTCCAGGAGCCCACTAAGAGTTGCCTCATTAAAACAAAAGATGTTCCTATTACCCAGGAAATTACGAGGAATTTAGTATTTCTGTGCCAGGAACCTGGGTCAAAGGCCAAATATTAGAACAAAAAAATTCTTCGATAGAGAGATAGATAACATAGGAAATTACAAGGGTTTTAGGAGCTTTTTACCAGGAACTAGGGATGAAGGCCAAATGCATATTTCTTTTTGTATCACAGTATCATGGTCCTGACTTCCATTTTTTTTCCTTCCCTTCTCCTCCCCATCCCCATATCCATTCAACACTTAGCACAGGCTATTTGTAGAGAAATAAATATTTGCTGAAAGAAAAGCATGAGTATTTCTAAATCTTTTTAAGTTCAGATCTCCACACTCCACTTCTTCAGGTGGGAACTCTTTGGGAGTAAAGTATGGACTTGGGTCTGGAGGCTGCTGAGAGAATACCGAAGACTACCTCTTTTACAGCATGTAGGACTAAGTAAATCTTGCTTCTAAAAAATGTATTTCAATACACATTTACTGTCTTTGAAGCTAGCAATCCTGGGTTTATGTAGGGCCAGTTATTCCCCTCTCTATTCTTCAGTTTGTAGAGGTTATGAGGGTTACATTCTTTGAGATGCAAGTTAATTTTGAAAATTAAATGGGCACAAAATGCTTCACGTGTGGACTCAAGAAGCAGGAGGTGATGTTTCTATGATGTGTCAAGCCTGAAGATTTGGGGGAAAACAAAAAACAACAAAAAACTCACTCAGTCTCTTTTGCTTACCATTGTACAAGGTGGCTGGGTGACTGCAAAGTCCAACACGATGTGCAGCAGAAGGAACTGGGAGGACTTAGTGTGGAGGGTCCCCAACCAGTGCCATCTGAGTGACTTAAAGGATGATGAGCAAGAGTTTTCAGATGGGGGTTGGAGGATGTATTTGTCTATTCTGTGTCGTTATAAAGAAATACCTGAGACTGGGTAATTTACAATGAAAAGAGGTTTATTATGGCCCACGGTTCTGCAGACTGTACAAGAATTAATCCTGGATTTATGTAGGGCTAGTTATTTCCCCTCTCTATGCCTAAGTTTGTAGAGGTTATGTGTCTGTCTCTGGTGAGCCCTCAGGAAGCTTACAATCATGGTGGAAGAGGAAGGGGAACCAGCATATCACATGATGAGAGAGGAAGCAAGAAAGAGAAAGGAGGTGCTTTCAGATGGGGGCTGGATTTTTAAACAACCAGCTTTTGTGTGCACTAATAGAGAACTTATTATCTTGAGAACGGCACCAAGCCATTCATGAGGGATCCCCCACCCCCCATGACCAAAACACCTCCCACTAGGCTCCACCCCCCAACATTTGGAATCACATTTCAACATGAGAGTTGGAGAGGACAAGTGTCCAAGCTATATCAGAAGAACTGCCGGCAGGGTACACTCAAACACAGAATGAGAGTGTGGAAGTGTGTGGTTATAATGAGGTAATCCCAAATCTGAGAGGGCTTGCATGTAATGTTTACCTTTTCCACAGAAATCACCTGGAGGGCCAGCAGGGAAAGACATTGGTTTATTAGAATTTACAGGAGGCACAGATGGCAGCAGTGCCATCAAGAATCTGAAGAATCTGTACCTCAGGGCAATATAGCAAGCAGTTTTGTAATCAAGCAAATTAATTAGTCAAATTCCTATCTGCTGTTTATGATTGCCCCCCAAGCCCTTGAATTTATCTATGAAAAATTGTGTATTTATTCTTACGTGTTTAAACTTCAGTCACCTTCAAAGTACTCTGATGCAACACATCTATCAAGATGCTTTTTTCACTACTCACAACAGTTTTGAACTCGTCAATTTGGATGCCTTTTAGTATTTCTGTCGCTTTTTGTTTCACCTCTTCCACATTGGCAAAGCATTTTCCTTTGAGGACGTTTTTCATTCGGGAAAATAAAAATGTCACTTGGGGTAAGGTAAGGTGAATAGGAAAGGTAGGGCATGGAGTTTGTGCCTTCTTTGGTCAAAAACTGCTGAATACCACCTGAATATCGATGAGTAGTGTGGTATGGGCAGGTGTATTGTCACAGTGAAAGAACCA